GACATTTTTCCCTTTCTATTCCTCTGTACTGCTTGTAAATGTTAAACAGGCAAACATTACTTTCAAAATTAAAACCTTCAAAAGGCTTGTGTATAGCAAAAACAATTAAAATTTAAAAGACCTAAGCAGAGGTCCTCAAACTTTTTAAACAGGGGGCCAGTTCACTGTTCCTCAGACCGTTGGAGGGCTGGACTGCGGGCCCCAGAACGAGTTGGCTGCTAAGCAGGACAGGCAGCGGTGGCAAAAATACCCGGCAGGCCAGCTAAATGTCCTAGGCAGGCTTCATGTGGCCCATGGGCCATAGTTTGAGGATACCTGACCTAAAGTAATAAAAGGATAGCTTTGGGGTACTGAGCAACTACAATTATGTTCTACACTATTGAAATAAGGAATGCTCTTGAAGCTCAGGAAGACAGCTCAAACTCAGTAAGCGATGCCTAATGGTTAAATTATTTCCATACTACCACAAGAACCACCTGCTAACAACTAACAAAGGAAAGCTTCTATTAATTAAATCAAAGCCTAAGGATAAAACGACCCTCACAAAGTCTTCTATCCTCAGACAAGTTTCTTTCTTTTTTTGAAACAGTCTCAAGCTGTCAGAATGCCGTGGTATCTCAGCTCACAGCAACCTCACACTCTTGGGCTTAAGTGATCCTCTTGCCTCAGCCTCCCAAGTAGCTGGGACTACAGGCACCTGTCACAATGCCCAGCTATTTTTGTTGCAGTTGCCACTGCTGTTTTAGCTGGCCAGGACCGAGTTCGAACCCACCACCCTCAGTGTATGGGGCCAGCACCCTACCCACTGAGCCACAGGCACCGCTTCCCAGACAAGTTTCATTTGTAACACTCATGTACATTGAACATTTAACCTTACTTAAACACCTTCAGAGAAGGATTTCATGTAACCTTTCCCCATTTCTTTAGGCACTTTCTTTATGCAACACATCCTCCCACCACCTACCAACACACACGTGATAATCGACCTGTCCTCCTTTTCCCAGGATTATCTTGGTTTTAATACTGACCCATGTCTTGGAACCCCTCAGTCCAGGGCCAACCATGATGGCCAGTCACTCATACATACCGTGTTTCCCTATAAGACACTGTCTTATATTTATTTTTTTCTCAAGAAGACACACTAGGGCTTATTTTCAGGGGATGTCTTATTTTTATTAAGTATAGTACAACAATCTACATTTATTCAAATGGAAACCTGGAACCTGACGGGGAGCGACCTTGTTGGTGGGGCTGGCGCTAATGATGCCTGAACTCCTTTCCCCTAGCCATCTGCAGTGCACAATAGGATGCCTGCAACTGCGGTTACCATGCATGCACCCACGCAACTGCCAACAGCACTGAAATGCAGTGTACCTGCATAGCCACGCCCATCACTAGGTCTTATTATCCGGGCAGGACTTATATTTTAACAAATGCATAGAATCCTGCTAGGGCTTATTTTGGGGGTAGGTCTTATTCTGGGGGAAACATGGTAATACCACATACAACTTAGAGGTTTGGATTACAGTTCATGTCACCAACTTGAAATGGCAGCAGGATATAGAGAAAAATCAGAAAGACCTGGGTTATAACTCCTGCCGCCATATTCACATGCTGAATAGTCTGGGAGAAATTACATAATGTAACAACTTCCTCAAGGAAGTTCAGCACAAGGTTCTAATTCTACTGCGGCGAGCCATAAGAGCTCCCTAAGAACAAGTGGGAAAGCACCTAGCATATGACACACATGCCCAACAAAGCTTAGGGTTTTTTATTTTTCTCTATATTTAAAGTAAGTGGGTAATTTCAAGAGAAAAATCTAATTACCCTTAAATCATTTTATTTACATACAGTAGGTGTAATCTCATGCAGACTCATAAAATAAGACTGTTCTATGTATTATATTAAACAACACATGAAACTGAATGCTTGAAAATATTTGTTTTCACCTGAAGATTGTTGAAATCTACTGTCATAATTTCAAAGCACTCCGTCAAAGCCAAATATCCTCCAGGAACTCGACTCATCTTTTCAGTTGTATAAGGTTCAACTGTTTCTTCAGTATCTACAGAAGAATAAGCTGGACTCTGGAATTTCACATTTGTTGGCAAATGGATCCCAGCAGTGTCCTTAATACCCACTCTGGTAAGGAAGGATATAAAAAGAGAAGGAGAGGAAGGAGAGGTATTTTTGGAATCAGGTAATACATCTAATATTGAATCCTGAAAAAATACATACAAAAATGAATTAAAACCTCATGGGCAGAGGTTGCTTAAACACAATTACATACACACACAGCCACTAACTACAAAGGAAAACAAATACAAGTATAAATAGGTCCACAATAAAATGAAGAGTCCCTCTAAGAAAGTAAAAAGGTAAGCCACTGCGTGGGAAAAGTTTTGTGGAATTCAACAATAAAGGGTTTGCATCCAAAACATACTTTTAAATTCCTACAAATTTATAAAAGACAAATAAAAATGGACAAAAGGCCTAGCCACCATACAAAAGAGAATATCCAAATGGCCAATAAGCATATGAAATGTTGCTTGCCTTTAGGAGATACCAGGGAAATGGAGTTAAAAACCAAAAGGCATAATACTATACATTCAACAGAATGAGAAAAATGAAACTGTCAACATCAAGAGTTGGTGAGGTTACAATCTCATACACTACTGACAAGAGTCTAAAATTAGTAAGACCACTTTAGGGACTACTTTGTAGTGCCAACTCAAGCTGAACATACCTATTCCAAATTTGCTCAATCTAGGAAACTCACATTGTTTGGTATTTCCACTTCTGGGAACATGGCCAATAGAAATTCATTCATGTCATCAGCAAAAAACAATCAAGAATGTTTATAGCTGCAATAGTTCCAACAGCCAAAACTGATATAACCTAAATGCCCATCAATAGTAAATTAGACAAATGTATTGTGGCATATTCAAACAACGGAATATTATTCAGTAACGAAAATGAGCAAAATACATACAACATGGATGTGCTGGACAAAATAAGTCAGCCACCAAAACAAAACACACTGTTATGATTCTATTTGTATGAAATTCAAAACAAGCAACAGTAATGTATGGTATAAAAATTCAGGATAGTGGCTACTCTTGGGAGAGTAGGACACTGGTACCTGGAAGGGGTTTCTTCCTAGAGACCTTCTAAAGTGATGGTAATGCCTTGGTCCTTAATCATTGGTTACACAGGTGTGTCAACTTCATAAAAATTCATCCAATCATAAGTTTATGGTTTATGCACTTGCTATAAAAATGTTTGATCTCAATAAAAATTTACATTAAAAAAAGTTCACTGGGAGGGGAGGGGAGAAGATGGGTGGAGAGGAGAGAGGGAAATTGGTGGGACCACACGTAGAGTGCATCTTACAAGGGTACATGTGAAATTTACTAGGGGTAGAATATGTCTTAACACAATAACTAAGAAAATGCCATGAAGGCTATGTTAACCAGTTTGATGAAAATATTTCAGATTGTATATAAAACCAGCACATTGTACCCACTCCCAAAAAAAGTTTATGAACATTTCAGCAACACCATTTTATAAAAGAAAATACTCCAACCTCATCTCACCTTACCTCAGTGGCATTTATTTTTTAGTCTATTTGCCTTTATAAAGTTTCAGAAGTTCAACTCTACTGAATAGATCTCTACTTCTAGAGATTATTTTATTATTCACTCAAAAGATGAATCATCAAATGGAACCAGTAATTATTTCAATGACTCTTAATTAAAAGTCACAAGTTATAGAAACAGAAAACGCATGAAAGGAACACAAATAAGTTCCTTTTAATTCATTATAAAACACATGAATGTAAACAATGTCAAAACTTCAAACATAGTAAAAACTAAAAGTTCACTTTGACAATACTCACTGCCTTCATTTCTTCACTGTTAAGTTTGCTGTGTATCTTTCCAAACCATTTTTTATATTTAGTAATATATATATATATCGCTCAAACATTTATATAGAGGTACTTTGTATATTTTCCTCTGCTCTTAATTTTTTTAATTTTGAAACTGATTTCAAATTTATAAAGTTTCTAGGACAGTATAAAAAACCCTAATAACCTTTAACGAGTCACCAAATTTTTTGGTATTTTGCCATGTTTGCTTATCATCCTCTCTCTTACCATGTATGTGTGTGTATACGTATTCTTTCTTCTGCACCATCTGAGAGTAGACTGCACTCATTATGTTTGTTTATCCTTTCCAAGATACTTCACTTCAGTGTATCTTTGTTACAAATTAGAATATAGTCTCTTAATCACAGTAGTTATCAAATTCAGTATTATCTAATTTACAGAAAAAGGATATAGAATAAAACTAAAATTTATTTTCACATTGGAATTTTTTATTCCAACTTCATCAATAATCAGTCAAAATTTAATATTTTTCTTTTCTTTTTTTTTTTTTTTTTTTTTGAGACAGTGTCTCAAGCTGTTGCCCTGGGTAGAGTGACATGATGTCATCATGGCTCACAGCAACCTCCAACTCTTAGGCTCAAGCGATCCTCTTGCCTCAGTTTTTTCTATTTTTAGTAGAGACAGGTTCTCCCTTTTTGCTCAGGCTGGTCTCAAACTTATGAACTCAAGCAATCCACCCACCTCAGCCTCCCAGAGTGCTAGGACTACAGGCATGAGCCACCATGCCTAGCCAAAATGTAGTATTTCTCTACATGAATCTATCACACAACTAAAGGATACTAAGTTGTATCAAAATTAATTTTCCATTAAGAAAATGAAAACTATAGCCAAGTGTGGTGGTACACTCCTGTAGTCCCAGCTACTTGGGAGGCTTAGGCAAGAAGGTTGCCTGAGCCCAATAGTTAGAGGTTGCTGTGAGCTAGCCTGATGCCATAGCACTCCACCCACAGCAACAGAGTGAGACTCTGTCTCAAAAAAAAAAAAAAAAAAAAGAAAAAAGAAAACTAGCTTTAAGTTCAGGATTTTTTTAAATTAAAAAATAGAAAAAGAATACCTCATTCTAGATGAGACTGGGCACTGTAATATCCAAAAATTGTTAATGTGGCTCAATCGTGGCACAAGTTATGCTTCCATCACAGTGTATTTGTTGCAATAGTGACAATGAGACCTGTGACATTTTGCATGGCTGATGAGTGGAAATCATGTATAAGAAAAATGTTGACTTTTCAATATTAGAGATGATTAAAGAATAGCATACAGTCGTGCATTGCTTAATGACAGGGATGCTTCTACGCAGGCCTACACAGGTCAGGATCATCAGTATCACTGTCATCCACATCTTGTCCACTGGGAGGATTTCAGAGGCAGTAACACGTATGAAGTTATCTTTTAGGATAACAATGCCTTATGAAATATCTGCCTGAGACTGGTCTACGGCTTAATGTTTTTATAAGCAGAAGGGGGGGAAGGAAGCATTCTAAAAAGTATAATATAGACAAGCATTGACTACTATACGTAACTGTATGTATCATATTTTTATGGCAGTATAGGACACATGTTTATACCAGCATCACCACAATGTGTTAGGTCACTACAAGGAAATTTCCAGTTTTATTATTATCTTATGGGAACACTGTTCTATATGCAGTCTGCTGACTAAAATGTTATGTGGTGCACGACTGTATTAGATCATGTGTTAAAGTACCAGTGTACTTTCTACCATGTAACTTTTATGACTCTGAAGTAACTTGGTTAAAGAAATTAGATTCCAGAGATTCTTAGTAAGTCATCCACCAAAAAGACATACAGGTTTTCTGTTGAACACTAGTTTTCTGTTTTTGTTTTTGTTTTTTTTTAAACTTATTTCAATATTATTGCACATGTTTACAGGCAGGCCCTACATTGTGAATGAGATAGGTAAAAGTTCCTGCTGTTCTAACTTGTATACAAATATAACAACAAACACCTACAGAACCTATTACCTGAAATTGCCCCATTCATAATTGTGAGTTATATGTAAGTCAGATGTTCGTAACTTAGGGGCAGCCTGTATCTACTAATACAATTGCAACCAAGCCTCGCAGTTAATTTGTCATGAGTAGATTTTACTTTGTCAGTGTGCACTCACATCAGTTATCAAGGATATATGATGTTATGATGATGGCTAAAATGTTCAGCTGCTCTGAATGGACTGAATATAGCCTTCTGAACACTGTGAAATAAATAAATTTAATAAATAAAATAAAAATAGAAAAATAAAAGACTTAAACTTCATGATTTTAAAGTTCACAGAACTATAAATCTTTACCCAAATATTCACTAAATAATCTTTGAAGTATATAGTATCTCCTTAAAATTACTGTTTTTAAATATTTATTATTTAAACACTCACTTACCTATGATGTCTTCTTATCTCTGCACATTCTACTGCCATCCCAAATATAACAGCACTTGCTGGTATAACTTTCCCATACTTTTCACAATTACCATGTTCACCTTTGGTCTAAAAAATATAACAATAAAAGTTACATTATTACATGTATGTAAAAATACATGTGTGTGTATAATGACAAGCTGTAAAATTAATTTTGAAAACAATAAGAATAAGCGGGTTGAGGATTTTTTTCTTTAAAAAGTATTTTTGGCAGGCAGCACCTGTGGCTCAAAGGGGTAGGGTGCCGGCCCCATATGCCAGAGGTGGCAGGTTCAGCAGGTTCAGCCCTGGCCAAAAAACAGCAAAAAAAAAAAAATGTATTTTTGGCTCAACGCCTATAGCTCACCGGCTAGGGAGCCAGCCACAGGTTCAAATCCTGTCCGGGCCTACCAAACAACAACAAAAACTACAACCAAAAAATAGCAAGGCGATGAGGCGGGGGACAAACCCAGCTACTTGGGAGGTTGAGGCAAGAGAATCATATAAGCCCAAGAGTTGGAGGTTGCTGTGAACTGTGATGCCATGTAACTCTACCCAGGGCAACAGCTTGAGATGGTCTGAAAAAAAAAAAAAAAAGGGCCCTGGGCACGTAGCCAAGAGGTTACAGTGCCAGCCACATACACCAAGGGTGGAGGGTTCGAACCCAGCCCTTTATATATTACATAAACTAAATCTATGATTTATAGGCTACAGCAAAGAATCTCTTTACTTTTTTCCTGCAGAGCTAGATGAGAAAAAAGATACACTCCCTTTTGATAATCTGCCAAGCAGTGAGGGCTGTGAGACTGAAAGCATCTCCCTTTCTCAACCCTACTGTAGAATTCTTTAGTCAGTCCCTCCACAAAATAACCTCAATTCCTGCAAATTCCTTCCTGGAATATCTTTTTCCTGTATACTTCATTTGGGCACACATCTATACACTGCATTATGTTGTTATTACATGTTATAAAATGGCACACTTATTGACATGTTATTACATGTCATTTTCCATGTCAACAATTGGGAAAAATATTTGATATTACTTTGTAAATCAAATTTAAGTCTTTTCATGCTGCTTACCTTTGGCTGCAAGAGTAAATGCTCCCAAGCATGAATCAAACTCTCCACAATTCCTTCTCCAAATAAACCTGCATCGACAGTTTCTGTTACAACTAGGGACACTCTATAGAATGATTTTTTAAAGATACATGTAAGTAAAATATCATGCTATTATATAAAGATGTCAAAGCAGAGAGAAGAGTATATTATAGAAACAGTCAATTTGTAAGATTTTCTAATACATTTCATTTGTAAAACTGGCCCTAAATCTTGAGGAACTTGACTCCAAGGTTCCCCAGGCTCCTCTTGTCCTCCCCTAGCTCCTTTTCCTTGGTTTTGAAGGGGTGGGAGGTGGGGATACAACCTTCACTTGACTCCGTTGCCTCCTCAGGCTATACTTTCATTGCCTGAACCTTTACGATTGGTTCACGCCCATTACCTTTACCAGTCCTCTTTCTTAATGCTGAGTAACTAGATTTCTATATCTAATACACCATAAATACATTCTCTGTCATCAAGGACCCCTCACTTATCAAAATGAATCTTCTTTCTCACTTGTCATTGTTCTTGATCTATAAATAATATTTAATGCAGGTGAGAGCTTGCCCTCTCAAAATCCATTCTATGGGCTCAGTGCCTGTAGCTCAGAGGCTAGGGAGCCAGCCACATACACCAGAGCTGGAGGGTTCGAATCCAGCCCAAGTCTGCCAAACAACAATGACAACTACAACTGAAAATAGCCAGGTATTGTGGTAGGCGCCTATAATCCCAGCTACGTCAGAGGCTGAGGGAAGAAAACTGCTTAAAGCCCAAGAGTTTGAGGTTACTCAAATGTTTAAATAACAGATGCCACAGCACTCTACTGAGGACAACAAAATGAGACTCTGTCTCAAAAAAAAAGTCATAGTTCAAATAATGATAAGAGTAAGAAATAAATCCTTTTTCAAGATAAAGTGAATTTACTCAAACTGTGAAAAAAAAAGATATGCTCAATTTAAGTAAGATGAGACAATAAACCTCAGTAGTAAAGCAAGTGCTATAGAAAACTCTGTCTCTAAGATGACACTGTTGGACCAGATGATGTTTAAATCTCTTCCAGCTCTGGCTTGGTGCCCATAGCACAGTGGTTACAGTGCCAGCCACATACAACTAGGGTGGCGGGTTAGAACCCAGCCCAGGTCTGCTAAGCAACAATGACAACTGCAACCAAAAAATAGTTGGGCATTCCCATGCTGAGCCGGAGGCCCAGCTACCTTGGGAGGCTGAGTCAAGAGAATCACTTAAGCCCAAGAGTTTGAGGCTGCTGTGAGATGTGACACCACAGCACTCTACCAAGCTCGACATAGTGAGACTGTCTCAAAAAAAAAAAAAACTCTCCAGCTCTAAAATTCCATCACCCTTGTGATATGAACCATGGTAAAGTGATAAACTAAAATGTCAACATTTATGCAATTGGGTGGCACCTGTGGCTCAAAGGAGTGGGCACCAGCCTCATATGCCAGAGGTGGCGGGTTCAAACCCAAACCCGGCCAAAAAAAAAAAATTTATGCAATTATATTTATGTGGTTTTTTTTTTTGTTTTGTTTGTGTATGTGACCCATTTAAAGAGTCTGGTCCAAAAAGCTGACACCTTACACTTCCCAAGTTTTCATTTTAAACAAGGATGCTAACGCAAAAGGTGCTAAGTCCATTAAATCTAATCTATTCAAGTCTTATTTTTACACAGCTATTGACCATACAGTATGTACTATCAATTTTTACAAACTACAACAATAAAATTAACATAGGTAAAGTAACTTGCTAAAGGTCAAGTTTATTATATCATTTACCACAAATTTTTCTCAAGCCATTTAAATATCTTTAATAAAGAATATGAGATTATCATGAAAATCTGTCTTATATATCCGTATCTTTAAAAAAATAATTTTAGCATTTTGATTTAGACTATAAACTAGAAATGTATTTTGACTTTTAAAAAATAAAATAGGGAATTATAAACACTAAAGTAAGTATATATTATAATACCTTTCAGGAATATGTTTTGGAATTTCTATGTCAAGTGACTTCATATGTAAGAGTTTGATCCCTTCTTCCATCTTATTTGCTGCCACTATATCACAGGCGAGTTCATACATAGTCTTGGATAATTCACAGGCATATACAGAATGTGCTCCAGCTTTTTTAGCAAACATGCTACAAGAGAAAAAAGTACTCCATTAAAAAAAAAATCCTGTTATTCTAATTTTAGTGGAACTATGATGCTTAAACACAGGGTTTCCTCCTTTATTCCTTAATACAACTATTACTTACTCCTATTAAAAAATAAACTAATATGTAGAAACAAATCATATAACTTATCATGGTATCCACATTAGTAAGAAAACACTACTGGTGTGAAGCATATTAACATGGGGCTGGGCGTGGTGGCTCACCCCTGTAATCCTAGCACCCTGGGAGGCCGAGGCAGTGGATTGCTTGAGCTCAGGAATTCAGACCATCCTGAGCAAGAGTGAGACACTGTCTCTTAGGGAAAAAAAACAAAAAACCACTGGGCATTGTAACGGGTGCCTATAGTCCCATCTACTCGAGATGCTGAGGCTAGAGGATAGCTTGAGCCCAAGAGTTAGAGGTTGCTGTGAGCTGTGACACCACAGCACTCTACCCAGACCAACAAAGTGAGACACTGTCTCAAAAAAAATTCATTATTCAAAATGTCAGTAATAATCCCAAATTTCTCTCAGCAGTTATGACCACTTCTTGATAAAATAAAAGTTATAATGAAGAATGCAATAATAGTTGCATGGATAAACCTAACAAGATTATAAGAAATATTTCTAAATTCAAACATTAAATTGTCTACATCTGATGAAATCTTTAGTTTACATTAGTATATATGTATATAAAATTAAAACAAACCTTAGTATTCCAGTTCCTGCTCCAATGTCCAGAACACTTTTGGACCCCAAAGAAACTGCCTTTTGGATTGCTGCATTATATGTCACATTCCTCTTGGTGTCATTGAGCATGATAAAGTGCCAGCGTTCCACCAACCAGTTTGCAACACGATAAAAATTTTCCCTTGCATCATTGAAATCAGGGTTTAGTTTCACTGCTTTATGAAAATACCCCGCTGCTTCATCTCTAAAGCCCATTCTAGAGTGAAAAAAGACAAAGACAAAATATATTCAACCATATAGTATTAATTACTGCACTTTTTTTTATTTATTTTTCTTACATATACACGTGTTTATCAGGTTTCCACTTTTGCCTTCACAGAGTTAAAAAGGCTTAAAATTTAATGACCTTAACAATGTTTAACATAAGAACTGAAAAGCACTATTTTTTTTTTTTTATGCAGTTTTTGGCCAGAGCCAGGTTTGAACCCGCCACCTCCGTCTGGTATATGGGGCTGGCACCCTACTCCTTTGAGCCGCAGGCAGCACCCAATTACTGCACCATTATTTACGCCACTCATCTGGCCTGGTAATCCCTCATGAGCACTCTAAATCCTACCCAAGTGAGAACTGCAATCTTCATGACTTTTCTTTCTTTTCTGGACCTCTACTGTATTTATGCATTCTGGGACAATATTAAGTATTTGTCTATAAATTATTATTGACTTAAGTGTAGTAGGAGTACTCTAGTCATCCTTCATTTAACCAACTCACTAGAATACCAGTTCTTTCTGAAGAAACTGGTTTCTTTCTGAAAACCATTCCCTTTATAAAGGATACTAATGCTAT